CTTCTCATCTGGAATGTGAGCATAAGCAATACAGCCAAAAATTTTAAAATGATCCACACCTGGTTTTCTTCCACTCCATGCTTCCTCAGGTGTCATATTTTGAACAGCAAAAGTTAGACTTCTGTTCAGAATATGAATGCTCCAGTTGACTGTTTCGGGCCAAAAATTCTTGGGAATGCTGCTTTTCTTCAAAAGGCTCCACACCATATTTAAAATAGTGCGATTCTTCCTCTCACAAACACCATTCTGTTGAGGTGTGTAGGCTGCTGTCAGTTGCCTCTTGATTTCATGTGTCTCACAAAAATTTGCAAATTCATGTGAGTTATATTCTCCTCCACAATCAGTACGCAGCACCTGAATTTGGCTCCCTGCTTCCTTCTCAACAAATACTTTAAAGCTTTTGAAAGCCATTAAAGCTTCAGACTTTGGTTGTAAGAAGTACACCCATGTTTTTCTACTAAAATCATCAATGAAAGTAATGAAATAACGTTTACCTCCATTGGAAACTGGATTAATTGGTCCACAAATATCAGAGTATACAATCTTCAATAGCCTTCTTGCTCTGGTTGATCTCCCCTTTGGAAATGGATCACGGTGTTGCTTGCTAACAACACATTCTTCACAAACAGTTGAGGGACTTCCAAAAACAGGCAGACCAGTCACCATGTTCTTTTGTTGAAGTTGCTTGAGCCCACCAAAGTTTAGATGACCATAGTGAGAATGCCACAGCCAAGCCACATCATTTGTCTTTGCCGAGAAGCATGACTGACTAGCACAGTTGAGATGAAGAGGAAACATTCTGTTAGCAGTCATTTTAACTTGAGCAATTAAGCCCAATTTGGAATCTTGAATCCGACACACTCCATTCTTGATGATAATCTCATAACCTTTCTCTTGCAATTGACCAATACTTAGCAGATTGGTCTTCAATTTTGGAACATAAAGGACATTAGAAATTGTTTGAGCAGCATTACCCCTGATTTGAACGGTCACCTGTCCTCTTCCCTTGACCGAGACTTTAGAATTGTCTCTGAACTTCACATTATCTCTGAAAGATTCATCCAAGGTGGAGAAAGCTGCCTTGTCTCCGCACATATGATTGCTGCAACCAGTGTCTAAATACCACAGGTTCTTATTAGACCCTTCTCCATCATGACATACCATCAGCAAGGATATTTCCTCCTCAATTTGTGCAAAATTTGATCTTTCTCCTTCATTGTTAGGCAAATTAGCTCGACATTCAGATTGGTAATGCCCATATTTGTGGCACCGAAAGCACTCAACTTTGGACTTGTCTGCTGACTTTGGTCTATAGGAAATCTGAAATCTGCCACGCCCCCTTCCTCTTCCTTCAAAAAACTAAGTTTGCTGATTTCTTCCTCTACCTCTGCCTCTTCCTCTGTTTGATTTATTTGAAAATGAAGAAGAGGTGCCAATTGTGGCCTTCAAAGCTTGCTCATTCTGCTCTTGTCGATTCAGCTTCCTTTCATATACCAGCAAGGAACTTTCAAGTTCTTCAAGTGACATTTCATCAAGATCATTTGCCTCCTCAATAGCACAGACAACAAAATTATATTTTGGTGTCATTGAACGTAGTATCTTCTCAACAACAGTAACATCTTGTGTCTTATCACCATGGGTCCTCAATTTGTTGACAATTGCCATTGTCCTAGAGAAATAGTCAGTAACAGTTTCACCCTCTTTCATTTGAAGTATTTCAAACTCCGAACGAAGTGCTTGAAGCTACTGCCTCTTTGTTTTTGTGTTTCCCTGGTACTTTTTCTTCATTGAATCCCAAATTTGCTTGGAGGTATCTTTGCAAAGAATAGTCTCCAAGATTGTCCGATCAATTGCTTGAAAGAGATAATTTTTGGCTTTGAGATCCTTCAATTTTAAAGCCTCCAACTCTGCCTTCTGAGCTTTTAACATCCTAGCAGTTGGTTCTACTACTCCAGACTCAACCACATCCCAATACTCTTTGGACCTCAAGAAATTCTCCATCAGCATGCTCCAATGATCATAGTGACCATCAAAACGAGGAATTGCTGGCTGCACAAAGGTTTCAGACGCCATTAGCTGTTGTGTTTGGTCCCCTCAATGTACCAAGCTCTGATACCAAATGTAGAGAAAATAGAGTTGAACAAAAACTTTAAGCTGAATGTTCTTTGAGGAATTAAATCAAACACCTACTGGGCATAAACAATTTTAGCAAGTGAAAGAAATTGAAAGACAGTAAACTCAAGCCAATTTGGAAGAGGAAAAAAAATACTTCTGAATTATCACATTCAACAGATAAAAGACACATACAAATAATCAGAACTGTGCAACTGAAATTAACGATAAAATAGCACCACTAAGCCACTAAACTACAAATAAGATATGCACTGCTAAAAATAAGACTCAACTGCACGTACCCAACAAATTCCTAAAGAATAGGACAATAAAAACAGATAATGGAAGACTTATTCAACAATCACCCCATTTCTAATTATCGAGCTTCTGTAAACTAATTCTCCCCTTCAAGAACAAATAAATCATATATAGATAGAAAGAAGAAAAAGAACATTGTACAAGTGCATTAAGGCGACAGCAGATACGGCGTTCCGTGGAGAAAGTATATTCTCAGCATAAAGCCATAGATCATTATTTTATTTGAATCCACAATGAGGAAAAGTTTTCACCCAAGATTGACGAACAAGATTTATATTTCTTCATACGTGTTTGACTAAGAATAGGACATGGATCAGGTAAGCAAAGCAAAGGAGGCGTGAGCAAATAGAGAAAAGTATATACATGCTCGGAAGAGGTTTACAAAACTTCAAGAAGGACCAATAATTAACTGCACTTTTGCCACTGAAATAAAAGCTAATTAAAGAAGGGAATTTTCTGTTTTAGAATATATGTTAAAGATATATTTATTATACATATTTTTATCATTAATTTATGAAATTTTTAATCTATGATTATAATTATTTTATTTTTTTATAATTAATTTACTTTTAAAAAATAAAATTTTAAAAATAACCATTTGTATTTAACCATTTAATTAATTTTTAATCAATTTTCAACCATCCATTTAGTTAACCGATCATTTGCCCAGCCCTGCTGAGAAGGATGTCAAAAGGTGGATATGGATTTTAACCCTCAATTTCAGATAATATACTCTCTCCAAATTCACGTTGCCAAAAGCAGGGGTGGGTAAATCTGAGTTTTTGTTTTAACTAAAATCGACATTTGATCAACTAAAAGTCTGTGGTTAGAATTTCTAAGATCAGTTTCAGTATCAAAATATATATTATTTATGGTTTGTTTAACTAAATTTTTGTTTATTATAAGTTCGGTTTTGGTGTTCACCAACAATTATCAAATATAAAAATAATATTAAAAATAGTGAATAAATAAAAGTAAAGTATGAGATTTTATTTTTTTAATTTTTAAATATATTTTAAATTCAAAGCCTAAATTATAACAAATTTGAGAGTAATACTTGAAAAAGAGATTGAATAAGATGAATTTTATATATATTTAGAATATTCAAATAATAATTATTCATTTATTAATATAAAAATTTATGTTTTAGTTATAAATTTGGTTTTTGATTTTCAAACCTCTAACTAATAACCAGTTGATCTTTTTTTAATTATAACCAAAACCAAAACAAAACAAAAATCAAATGCATCTTACCAGTTACCATTTAGTTATTTTTTAATTAATTTTTAGTTAACCATTCGGTTAACCAACCATTTATCCACCCTTCGCGAAAAGGAACCGCCTCGAGTTGAAAGCTTCATGGAGCCAAAGAAGCGTTAACATAAAATGTTGTTTCTAGATTATTATGCCACTCTAATGAAGTTCCTGATGTAATAATTAATGACAAAAGTCAAGAAGCGAAGTCTATTGACTACAGATAGACGTGTCGAACTCCCTGCCTCATTGGTAATATTTTGAATGGAGTTTTTCTCGGAATAAGTTAAAAAGATTTTTTTACTATAAATTTATATAAAAATATTAAACTTATTATTAATTTTAATATTATTATCATATAAATAAATTTAATTAAATAATTAATAAATTAAATATTATTTTTTATTTTTTAAAACTCTTAATTTATATTTTAAAAACACATAATAAAAAAACACTGTTAAATAACTTTTCTTACGTAGAATGAACTGCATTGCCCTTTTTTCTTATGCGTGAATCAATCCTTCTACTTTATACACGCGTTTAAGGTGAATAAAGTAGGATAAGACTAAATCACAGAATATAAAAACTATTCTAAATTATGCCACTTTTCTTACATATGATGGACTGCTTTTCCTATTTT